TTCATTTAACGATGTCTAAATTTTATAAATTTTTATGAACTATAAGAATTTTTATTAAATGCATGAAAAGTGAATAGTTTTTATTTATCATAAGTTAAAATAATAAAAAACAATTTTGTCATGGAGTAATTTTCGGTTTTAAAAAATTAAATTTAATATTAATAATATAAATAATAAAAATTAATAATAATAACAATATTGATAATGTGTTATTAAGTATTATTTTCATTGATTACAGTATAACTTATACCAATTTTTTCAACACATTATAAACCAACGTGTGAACATTAATTGAAGATGAATTTTTCGTCTTAACGAACATCGTAAATAAAATAATACATTATTTCTCATAAGAAATCTGCACATTCTAAAACAAGCAAACAGACAGAAAAGAATACAGATAGACAGACACACACGCAGACATACATACAGACAGACAGATAGATAGACATACAGGCAGACAGATAAACAGAAGAGTTATATCCAATTACATCAAAATTCAGATCATAAAGCAGTTATTGCCATCAATTTGTCATCAAACATTTAGAGAAAATTGTTTATAATGATCTGTAAGAAAATCAAGACAATCTCATCGTTTGACTTACAAAGTTCAAACAGCAACTACTTTGCACGTGTAGTCATTATCGTCATCGCATCCGCTTCGCTTGTCGATGTGGCAGCCACACCAACTGCAACAATTTCAGAACTCTCCAACGCCGGTAATGATGCAAATCAAACAAATTTCTTTGAAGACAGCATCACTCCACTACAAACGAACCTACAACTGCAAACAGTTTCTAATTCGAATGAATTTGTTACATACAAAGAACAACAGACAACGCAGTCCTATGTTACTCATAATCAACAACAACAGCTACTACCACTTTACCACAACCAGCAACAGCAACTATTCCAACAGCAACAAGTTCAACCAAAAATTCGCCGCCACAAACCCACGCCAAACATCGGTGGCAGTCTAAACGCGCGTCGTTACGCACCAACTAACAACAACAACAACAGAAAGTTGAGCCAGGGTTTTGTTGAAGATACGGATAGTGATGGTTCCATCTTTGACGATTTCATCGCAAAAAATGTCAACCTACAAAAACATGTAAGAAATCGAAACAGATTAATTGAGAAGAATTATGAGAAAATTTTTTTGAAGGAACAAAAACGAAAACACGTTAAAAATGGCATCAATGATAGCAAGAAACGCGTCAAAGTAAGTAATAATAATGATAACAACAATAACAACAACAGCAACAACAGTAATTACAATAGCAACAGTATTAGCGATGACGACGATGATGAACATGATGACAGAAATGCCGTAGACAAGGATGACAATGGTGGTAACAAATATGACCGCGGGTATGCACTGGATCCGAAACCACCGATGGACCTCGTTAAGGAGGGAGGAAGCAACGACATCGGCGGACATCAGAGGAGGAAGGATAAACTGCTGTACAAACCAGCCAATCAACAATCTTTGCAACAATTACGTCACCATCATCGCCATCGTAATCAGCAGCATCAACAGCAATCGCCACCAAAGTCATCAGATCATCGTCCAAAAAAACAAAACAACAATCACAATAGAATGAACAACAACAACAGAATTCAAAGCAGTAGAGACAGATTACAACACACAAAAACGACAAACGTCAACAAGAAAGAGAGCAAGAAGAAACATAAACAACAACAAACATTGAACAACAACAATTTTAACAACAACAATGACATCAACAACAGCATAGACAACGACAACAACATAAACAAAAACCAATTCAACCAACGTTACAGTAACGAAATATTCCAGCTACTGAAAGGTGAGGCGACACCTCTCTCCATAAAAAACGTTCCCAAGTTTATGAAGACGCCGCAATGCAAATCAATCCCCATGACGATGACCATCCGGAAATCCGGTTGCCACGACGTCAACCTAAAGGTCAAGTACTGTGGAGGTATGTGCCAATCCTACTATATTCCCATTCCTCCCGTGTCCCGCAAGGATCGAAGAGATAAAAAAGTGGAAAGGTTAGCCCACAAGATTTGCTCGTTTTGCAAGCCGAAAAGTTACAAGTACAGAAATGTGGAGTTCACCTGCCCGAACAGCAGGTACGGACCGAAAGTACAGAAGAAAGTTCGAGTTATTGACCGGTGCGCTTGCACTAACCTGCCACTTAAATGATAACGACGAAGATGATGTTGTTACAATGATGTGATTGATGATAATAATGGTGTTGATACTGATGAGGATGATGTTGATGACCTTTTGGAGCGAAGTTGAATGTGTAACCTAAACGACTAAACAAACGTATTGAGGTGTTCGAGTCATTGTTGAGAATCAGTTTTTGTATCTACAACAACTCTTTTGTTACACAGATTTACATAACTTTTTAAAGAAATTGTTGATGATGTACAAAGAGAAGGAGAGATGCACATTGCACATGTACATTCAGCACACTGCACGTATGACCGTGTATGCCATAAAAATGTATACAAATGTATGGAAAATATCACACATACTTATGTATAAGCGTGTATTTCTACGTGACTGTATACACGTACAACATTGTATATACTTATATTTTTAGTATTTTTTCTAGTTTTGTATACAACAATACTTACCCAGCTAAATACTTATCTACTTTTAGTGCAGTAATTGTTTAGGGAAAGCTTATATGCGTGGAAGACTTTTATATTGTATATTATAATGTGTGTGTGTCTGTGTGTCTATGTGTGTGTGTGTGTGTGTGGTGTGTGTGTGTGTGTGTACGAGTCCATGTATGTGTTAGTTCACTAATAATTGGTAAAAATTGTTTAGTTTTGTTTCATTTTATATTTTATTTTATTTATTCCTGTGTGTGTGTGCGTTTGCGTGTGTATGGGATTGTGTATGAGCGTGATAATGAGCGCTCACGTGTGCTGGTCAGTTCATCACTAGTCGGTGAAAAATTTTTGCTCTTCGTTCTGTCGTTTTCCTAATTAATTTAATTTAAATTAAATTAATAAACTAACTAATTAGTTAAACATCGATGTTTGTACGTATTGTAATAAACGATGTTTACTTATTTGTATTGTTTTCTTTTTATTCACTTATTTATCTCTTGACATTATTATTATTATTAATATGATAAATATTATTAACCAATATTAATCAATATTAAATATGACAATGATTATTAGTCACCGTGACCACCTCAGAGCTGAACTTGTACATTGTTCGGTATAATCATAGACTGCTTGCATTTTATTTGGATACCCTACTTTTTCTTTCTTGTTTTGTCGTTTGGTTGTTGCTGTTGTAATTGTTGTTAAGTTGTTGTTGTTGTTAAGTTGTTGTTGTGTTGTTGTTGTTTGTTGTTGTTTTTCAGCTGTTATTGTGTTGTTTTTTCAAATGATATATTCAAATACGAATATCCATAGACCGTATAATGCATACACACACATACATATTGTGTATATACAACCTAGTTGTGTTTGTTTATTTGTATATATGGCTATATATTGGTAGACGAAGCGCATGAACAAAACTTGAAAATGTTGAAATATTGAAAGTGCTGTAAAATAATAAATAAAAACCTCTCTGCGATTGATGTAGGATAATAATTCCTGTAAAAAGTATTCTTTGGTATGTTTTTTTTTTATTTCATCATTTTACATCACACGCCATAAAACCTGAAAAAAACAAACATTAACCTTCTTAATAGAAATGGCTAAAAGTGGCCATTCAAAATAATATGACCACCGAAAAACTTCAATTTTCTGAAGTGATTTCTACTCTAACGGCCAGTAAAAATCGTCACAGACTAGTTTTCTTGAATTATTATTCCAAATTTAAAATTTTTTTTTACAAAATTAAAAAAAATTTTCAAAAGTTTTATCTCAAGTATTTTGTACTTGATAAAATTTCAAAACTTTTCAATTTACCTAACGCCAAATTACACACACACACACACGCACACACACCCAACTCACACAAACACACAAATACACACACACATTCACATTTATATGTATATATATATGACATAACACACACATATACATTATACATAGACACACGTATACACGCACACACCACACATACACACGCGCGCGCACACACACACAATAAACAAATTTACACAATATGCAGATAAATGCGCACACACACATAGACGCACACACACATACAAAAGTTTAACTTTATTTTTATTTATATATTTTCTATAGGTTTTTTGTCTCTTTATTTTTTTAATGCATCCAAATCAAAATATTTTGATAAAATCAAAATGAACATTTATTGGAAAAAAAATGATTACAATATTAATAAAATTATAAGAGCAGCAAATAATAATAAAAATAATAGTAACTGATAATAATAATAATAACTATAAATAATAATAGTAATAATAATCAATGATAAATAATAATAACAACGCGATAACGATAGCAATATTATTCCATTGATTTGATAAAGTTTTCTATGCATGCCTTGTTTAACTTTCTCACATACTCTGATTGAATTCTTTCCGTTAAGTTTCACATTTTCATAAGTTCACACTTTGTTCGTTCACTGTGTTTGCCTTTGTCGTGAACTGAGAGCAAACAAGTTTGTAAATGCTGATGTCATGAATGTTATGTTATGATGTCAGTTACTGTCAGCTGTGAATTTTAATGTAATGTCATTCTAAAGGTTTATGTCACTGAGTTTAAAATCTTTGACAGTTGATGTCATATAAGTTAATGTCATTTCTAAATTACTAGAATTGTTGTTATTGGAGTTGTATAAACACAAAATATACAATAAAATGTCGATGTATTCCAAAAATTTCTTTTTAATTTTTTGAATCTTTAAAAAACCTTTTTAGATTAATTCAGTTGATAATTTTCTATGAACAACGAGCAACAAAAAAGTCTGCAGTAAAAAAATTCTGAATGAAAAAATAAAATAAAAGTACCTCCACTAAAAGAATTCTTATGAAGACTAAATTTACTACTACCACTCCATCCAAAAAGTCTCAATGATTTACAAATGTTTCCGTGTTTTCGGCACAGTTTAACTCGACTGCTGTCGCCACATTGGCAGCTAACTACACGCAGAACATCATCTCGACACTTGATATCTGTGGCCACAAATCAAACTACAAAACGTGCGCGCGTACGTGTATCAAAACAAATTTTTAAACAAAATACAAATACGTAATACAACGTGTAGTGTATACATTTGATAATAATTTAAAAAAATACATTTACCGGAATATTGATAAATAAATAACGAGCGATGACTGACAGTTAAGCGCTCTACACCAAAGCGAACAGTCATTGATTGCATTTCGTCTGTCAACACGAAAATGTATCACATTTCAAAAAGTTACATTAATTAATTTTAAGTAAAAAAAATTCATGTTATCGGTGAAGCAATCAAACAAAATGATATAAATCTCTTCCTCCTTATCACGTAATCCTCTTAAATTTTCAACATGGATGTGCAAAAGATGAGTTTTATTATCAATTGTTCGTTTACAATTCCTCGATTT